ACTCAAGAGACGACGTTTCAAGATGTCCGCTTGCGGCTCGTCGAAGCTTTCGACGAGTTGAAGCCAAGCAGCATCAAGGGCTGCATTCACAAGGCCGACCGGCAGCTCGAGAGGCTGGCCCAGTACATCAAGGACCAAGAGGACAACGACGACGACAGCGACAGCGACGCCAGTAGCGATAAGTGATGACTCCAGTGGCTCTGCATCTGAGTAGTAACATGTCACCTTTGATTTGATTGGTCAATAGTATCCAGCTGATCGTTGTAATTTTATCGTGTTTTACAAAAACTCGTTGAAAGTCGATAAAAATTTGAGAAGCCCCCTCCAAGCTGTCGACTACTGTTATAGATGAATTTTTTCATAAAAATTGTTGTACTTCTCCGCGTTTTCTTCTGAATACAATGGACTTGATCACATTCCTTCAAACAGAATACTCTTTATGAAATGGTCACTCAAAGTCAAGAAGGATAGTCAATTTGCATCCTAAATAGTTATAGTCTCCGACAATTGATAAAGTTCTCGCTAGAGTATATTCGTTCGTAGAGTCATAACATCCTTGACGAAGTTTATTGGTTTGCCATCAGATAATTCATGCTTCATTTTAATTGTCAACAACAACTTCGAAATGAGAATCTACCAAGTTAGTAGTCCAGCTACTACATTGTCTTCTTTTGATACTAAATGCCCGTTTGGCAAAAATGTTGAAGAAAATTCCATACTGCCCTGTCCTCGAAAATGAAGCCAATAACTTTAACTTGATTAACAGTATACACCAGTTGCGAAAAATGTCTTAAAGTTTGTATTGACCTCCTAGACATCGTATCACTCCAAAAATTGCACCAGCTGATAAAAATATATTAAAGTTTGTATTAACCTCCTAGATAATTCATCACTCGAAAAACTACAATGACACCTACACTTTCATGGGATTCAAGCGCCATACAGAAATGCAATGGCACTCTGATGCACTGCTAGATTGCTATGAACATTAAACAAAGACAAGTCCTGTATGCATGCATCAATTTGCACATGAGGAAGCTTGTAGTCGCTTTCCCCTTGTTCTCCCTTGTTTTCTCCATCACCTTTTGCAAAGTGATGAAGTTCTTGGATAACGTATCATCAGGCAGCTCATAGATACGCTTTTTAAAGCATCATTAAGCTCCGCGATTGCAAAGTACTGTACGCGTAAACTTATGATTTTGTACCCTTTGAATATTTTTAAATTTCCTGAATCTAGGACATTTAAATCTGGGCTATTGGGGGGCTGGTTGGCGGCTTCGATAGAATAACAACAGGTTGTAGCAGGAGTTGCGAAGTCACACAGTTATGCGGACTAGCATTGTTTTGCTGTAAGTACATAAATGTTCTAGATGGATCTCCCAAAGAAAATTGCATGGGCAGCAATGTTAATATTCATGTACCGATAAACTTCAGCGTTTACCGCTAGAGGAACTGTTATTACAGTTCCTTTTGGACGATTTTTCCTGTCCCCCATTGCAGGCACTTTTTCGATTAAAGGCCAGACACCCAACTTGCCGGCGAAAACGCACTTCTTGTTAAAATCGTGTTGTATCTTAGTCGAGCCCATCGTCACCAAAACATCACGTTCTTAAAGAGCCGTTTCAACTTGAGGTAGCGGTCGGCCCAATTACATTTCCTCTTTACAGGCGTTAAATTGAATCTCTTTTCATCAACATAAATATATTGGTGCATACTTTAGCTGATTTGTCATGTGTGAACAAAGTGACATGGCAGATGGCAGAGAAACAGAATCACTCTGTAGCATTATTATTCGGCGAAGAAAAGAAAATCAAAAGCATAGAGTCTAAACGTTTGCAAGGTTTTATAATGTGGGTAGATATGATGCGCAAACCAATACATGAATTCCGCAATTTATCGTTTTAAGGGACATGACTGTTCGTTAATGTTGATGTAGTCAAGAGAACACACAACTGTAAATCCGATGATATCCTCACTTTTCAATTCGACACCTCGACGCCATTCGGATACGAAATCCGGATATGCTGTGGCCTAAGCAGCTAATGACGGGACCCCATGGATCCTTCAGGACGTCGGGCCCCATAGGGAGCAATGTCAAAAGTGAGCAATGTCAAAAGTGCCGCGCGCAGTAGTCGTGGGACCCCCTCGGCCTAGCCCATTGATTTGCTGCGCCGGTAACCGGCGTTCGTCTCTGTCTATGGGTGTGCCAGGCGATCTATGAGGTCTATGTTGGCGTCTTTGCTGCCCAGATATGACACATATGCAACGATCAACACCATGAAAATAATGCATGCAATTATTGATTAGGATTGTGATCGTCTTCAAGCAAGTGTCCGTCAAGTCGGAGGTATCATCCAACACTACGACAGGCATGCCTCCAATTCTCATGGTGTGAATGATAGAATCAATGTCTTCTGAGCGGCCTTCGAGAAGAGCCTCGGAGGTGTTTCTTGGTATTGCATCGATGATGTTGCACTTCTCGAACCCACGAATGTTTGTAGATCGCGGCAACGATTCCCACGCTTCGTTTACCCATTGAACGAGCTGCTCGCGACCAGGTGGGCGAAATTTGAATGCTTCCTTCTTTCCTTGATCTTGGATCTCATGGCATGTAGGTCATCCATTTCAAGCGCATTGCCACCTGTAGAGGCTTCATCCAAGCTACATCGGCCGGCTGGCACATCCAAGTGAAGGCAGGTGGAATCTTCTCGAGCGCAACATTCATTGTGTTTGCGCACTCGATGATGTCGTCGTTGAAATGTGCACTAAAATCGTCCCACTAGAGTAGGATCGCGTTCACATCTTTGCCTTTGCGATGGCCGAAGTGCTAGTAAAGGAATTGTTTGGAAATCTCACTGTTCCACCATGCCGTAGGATTGCCAAACAAGCGGGACGGATGTCGTTCGTGCAGCTCTTCAATTTCGGGCCACACTCGTGGTCCAAAGCCATTTCGCAGGGTAAGGTTTTCAACCACTTTCGCCTTGATTGTTGACGCTATTAACTTTAGGACCAAGAATTGGAACATATTTGTTCCCCTTGGTGTCGCCCAGCACCATTGCTGTCATTCGAACTTTCTCGTTGCCGCCGCATCGCATCCAAACGGGCTTCGCTACACACTTGTCAATGGTTTGCTTCGGTAGGTACTCAAAGTTGATGCCGGTTGGATCAGCATTGCAGATCTCGGTAATGTTTTCATCTTGAATAAGTTGTCGAACTCGTTTATTGAACTCTGCCAAGGCTGCGTCGCCTTGCGCCAGGTTCGCATGCCCGGACCTCGTTTTTGCTCGCATAGCTTGCTTCCAGCGTTTGATAAAGCCCGTAATCCAATGGTGACTTGCTTTGAACTGAGTGAGGCTTAGTCCAACGTCTTTAGCCACTTCAAGAGCTTTACATTGCAGCAAAAACCTGCTAACAGGAATACCTTGGGATCGAAGTTCTTGCACCCAATGCGCGACTAGTTCTTCATGCTCTCTTGAAAGAGTAGTTGCCGTCCCAAGAGGTCGTGTATTCTTGTAGGTGGACGTTGATGGATATTTTGCCATGTTGGTTATATGCGGTCGACTTTTTTCCCACCGAATTGTGCGTTTTTGTGCTGATCTACAGCTGTACGAGCTACGGCTTGGGCACCGCAGAAGTACGTATCCAACGCCAATTCCATTGAGTGCTGCTTGCGCCAGTGGATGATGTGGAGCTGCTTCGCATAGCTGAAGTACAATCGCTTATGCTGTGGTGGACGACGTCGGTGGCAGTTTTTGACGGATGGTCTTCCTGTAGCATTTCTGTGAGGTGTTTTGGTGCCAGGCTGCGCCATGAGTGATTTACAAATGCGTTTTCCCGCCAAATGGCCCTCATGTCGTTCCTTTAAAATCGATGCTCAATTGTCTTTCGAGGGACAACAATGATAAAGGGGCCTTGCATACCATTATAATTGAAACTACAATATTTGAAGGGTTGTTTCTGTTCACTGATGACAAATCAACTAAAGTATTGGAAAAGGTGGCTCGATTAGACGCCTGTAAAACATGAGATGATGCATGTTGAACACGGAAGCGCTTGTTTACTTCATTAAGTTAGGGTTTGGAGAAGCTCAACTTCGACTTGAATCGCTTTTCTTTTTTCATGTGGCGGACAAAGGCGGTCTTGGGCCCTCCACACTGGCCGACATAGTGCGCAGTGTTTGATGAGCCTGCAAGGGCATCGAACGCATGGCTCGATCGATGCGGCTGCTTAGCCCCGAATTCCCTCTGGAAGTTAATTTGTGAGAATTTATAGTTGTAGGAACACATAATTAGTGCACGCATTGCAAGATAATTAAGGTTTACCTTTTAATTCGAGTGGAGGTCAGCAGCCTCGTCGCACCATCAAACAATGCTTATCCTCACTTCCACACGCGTGAAAAAGTCTTCCAGTTCCACGCGAATGTTTGAGCAGTTGATTTGTATGCTCCACGAGGCAGTTAGGCGTTGTTGCACTGTGTGCCAGCAACGCCTAGTAGATGGCACGCCACTCGTGGTTGCTGAGCTTGCGTTTGTGGTATTTTGCGCTAGGTGTTGGCAGAGCACTTGCGGATTCGATTGGAGGCATGGTGGAGTGGTAAGAAGCAAAGAATGTATCATGCTCGAGGCGTCACATTCAAATTTGACACCTCAGTGGGTGATGATGTGTGCTTCATTTTCGAGGCATGATTTTCTTGCCGCCATAACTTTTGAGAGATAGTGACCTAGAAGTCGCTAAAGAGAGACAAACATAGAGGAGATTCCACGATCCTTGGTCAGTAAATCAGGTTCAAATGAAATATCAGAAACATTCCGTCAATCTAAAGTTTTATTGACCTCTATTTCGATAATAGAATAGTATTTTTCGTGAAGGAGTATGGGTTGCTCACCAAAAATTCGAAAATGAGGTTTTTTAAATGGGATTGGGCGAGCTCAAGCTGCATCTGGATCGACAGGCAGACCTGGTGGGCACTGCAGCTTTGGGGGCCATGTCCACGATAGCTGTATAACGGCATGCGGTGACCAAAGCGAATTGCTTTTTTAGTACTACAGAGAACGAGGAAGTTTAAGCCACATCGAAGTATTCCTGGTTGCTAACCACATCAAAGCCAATCAGAGCTAATGAATGAAATACTGCATTTGTATTGGCCATAATAATATAACGCGCCAATTTGACAGGTCAAACCCCGCACGAACGGATATTTCACATTTATAGAAGTACAGATTTTGTCAGAAATATTGTTCTGAGACAATTTTATTGGTCAGAAATTGTCATGAATTTCGAATTATTTCGTCCAATCATGTTGCACTATTCTAAATCTACTTCGATTCAGATGTGGCTCAAATTCCTTCGTTGTCTGTAATAAGATTTGTGAACAAAACCGAACCAATCGCACCCAGTCGACAGGTTTCAATTTTTTCGATGCTGCGCGTCATGTTCAGTACAATTTGAAAATACCGACTCCTCATTTGCACACAATGGGCAACAACACTTCCGCACGAAATGACATTACTGGACAACATTCTCGACTCTAGTTGGACTTCAAGCTGCAAAGAGTATCTACTCGCAGTGCCTCGTCTCAATTTTGTCAAAAGGATGTCTCATGTCAAAACGTCTGAAGTCTGTGCACACAAGGCAACACATCTCCGAAGGACACAATCGACAGATGTGCGCGATCACTTGTGGTTGAGAGTTTGAACGACTGGGTTCAGTCCACCAGGGAGAGCCTGATGCGCAGAGACTGTCAAGATGCGGTGCATGTCGAATTCGATTCGACAGCAGGTGGACTTGGGTCGTCGTTGCTTCGTCAAAATGTGCCAATTGCTGTTGGGATTGGAAGGGTCCCAAGTTTGCGATGTCGTGGAGAGAGAATCGCATCTGCGTCCAAGAGGCACTGAATCTTTTGACACTAAAATATACTGAATCCCGGCATAATGGCACTACCATTCGGCAGCTCATGTCAGGGCGGCCCAAGATTGACTTCTTCCAACTTCCACCGCCGGTGTCACCCAATCCGCAATAGCACGAGGTGCCGGCAGCGCAGTTCTGTTGGGTGTAGTGCCCCTCGGCCAAGAAGTCCATCGACCACCTTGTCCGGGGGCGCAGCTGTATATGCCATCATCATCGATCACGTTGTGCTACCTCGTCTCCGTTTCCTGACGCACGGAGAAATTTGGTCTTGAATTCTTCCACTGTGCTCTCATGCACGACTGTTATTGGATACTCGCCAATCACAATATGCCCATCGCCAGTGAGGTCGAGAAATCGAAGTGGCATCCGCAGCCCTTTCCCATGTCCAACATACGCGTTGAACGCATCGACGGAGACTCTTTCACAAACGACGTAGGGGTCGACCTCGTCGTCACTTGTGTCGAAATATCTTGCAATGCCATCGAGCAGTTGAAGATGTCGAAGATTTCATGGGAGGTCCTTGGCAGAGTCGAAGCATTTGCGGACGTGTTGTGGCAACCGCACGTGCCTCTCCAATTGCTTCAGCGAGTTTCGGCTGCGAGGAAGATAAGAACGGGTCATCGTCTTTCCCAACCACTTGCTCCTCATAAAAACTCAGGTTCAGACTCTACACCATTGCCCGTTCAATGTGGCCAAACCAGCACTCAATGTGGTTTCGATGTTTTAATTTCTTCGAACGTCGAAGTACATCTGGAATCTATTTCATTCAAAGTGGTTTAATCTGCAATCAATGTGGCCACCTGTAAATTGTAATTCGATCAAAACATGTATTGATAAAGGTTTGCTTTTGGCTGGCGCGCCATACTCACGCGACACTCGTTCAGGAGCAATGTGTCGACACACAACGTCGTACGCACATCAGCAACGTCGAGAGGAATAGAGCCAATGAGGTCCGATTCAGCCGGTACCGCGGCGCTCAATTCGCGTCCCGTCGCCATTTCGTACAAAAAGTGACTGTACAATATGCAACTGAGGCCTCGACTAAACTTCACTAGGCATTGGAGAGTCATGGATTGTTGACTTCGGAAGATGTGAACTTTTGCCTCGGTATTTCTCAACAACCAAAAGGCATTACAAACGCAAAAAACACCCAATCAAAGTCTAGTTCTGCGCTATTGAACAAGCCAATGAGATACCGAAGGGGAATTGATAGACATATGCCCTCAAGGAAAAGCGAAATATTGCGCTACAGATAAGTTTATATGTGTGAGACTCTCGATTGAGGTGCACCGCAATGACAGAAGATTACATGAAATTCATTGTCGCTTGCGCCCGCAAAATACCGCAATTGAAAATGGACCTAATCATCCTATTTTCAATTACTTGCCGGGGTGACAGAAGATAATTTGACGGCCTATTAATAAATGAGAAACGGAAAAATGACCAGTGGTACTTAACGAGATTGGACTTCTGTCATCTTCTCATATGAGAAGTTCAATCTCGACGGGCCAGACTGCTGGCAATACTACTGACACAAGATTGGAACCAACGATCAGGATTCTTTGAAGCGTCAAATAGGGGAGGTTCCGTCATGTTTTGGTGTGCTTATTTAGCCATGGCAAGGCTGAGTGAGCTGCGCGTGCTGGAGGGCAATCAAAACAGCTCGGAGTACTTAACGACTCTGTCTGACTACCTCCTGCCCTTTGCGCATACATCCTTCGGTTACGACTTTGTATTTCAGTAAGACTATGTCAGCATTCACAAGGGTCGCGAGACGAAAGTGTAGATTTCCGAACTAGAAGTTGGCATGCTGGATTGGCCTACTCTTTCGCCAAACCTCATTCGGATCGAGTGCCTTTAGTCAAGGATGGCTCGTCGAGTCTATGCAAACGGGCGACCACATTCCTCACGAGAAGCACTCAAGATTGCAATTTTGCAGGCATGGGAGGAAATTGACCAAGCGACGCTCGACAAGCTTGTCGATTCAATGCCAAAATGCTGCGTTGAGGTCCTTGTGAAATATGGAAGAAAGGTTTACGACCAAATCATGTTTATGTCTTTCAATATTCTTCATTGTATCTATCATTAATTCGCAAATTTCTATGCATGTGTCATTAATATTCACAACTCCAAGAAGCCAACAGCTATATTACCTCGACGAACAATCTAGTCTTGCTTGGAAGGTCCATATGATTGCCTCCTCGAATTAAAACATCAAGCAATGTTATCGACGATTTTGTGGAAAATTGATGTGTGTACTTAAGTTTATTGAGTGCACTGTATAATACTTCCTCTGTCCCACAATATTTTACCAAAAGAAAAACACACTTTTTTCACATTACTCAAACCAAACTCATATGATTGGTTCACCAAGACAATCAATACATTCATTGGTTATTAATCCTAGCCTACAATAGAAGATAGACAGGGCAGGACACGTTCGACATCAGAAGACCGGCACGGCGCATAGCCGCCATTTTCAGGCGAGGCATGACGTAGTTGTTGTTCCCACCATGCTCGAGTAACAGCCTCATCACCGCTTGGAAGATGAGAAAGACGTTCTCGAGTTTCTCATAGCTCAACTCATCGCAGGCAGCGAGGATGTACTGGATGACCTCATCCACTGTGCGACTGACCTTCTTCAGCTGTAGGGATTGAATGGAGGCAAAAAAGCCTAGGTCCAACACGTTCAAGTCCGGACTGTTTGGAGGCCGACGGCGTATCACAAACGTCCAACCATGAGTCGAGACAGACGCCAACGCGGCGTCGATGATGCAACGATGCGGTGTCGCATTGTCTTGCTGGCGAACAACTCGCTTGTTGGTGCTTGGAAACAAAGCCTTGATTGCAGGTACGATCATGTTGACGACAAAGTCGCGATAGACATCGGCATTGACGTTCGATGACGAACGTTGTCATCAGAGTGGATGCCGCTCGATTCCGTGATGTCCGCGCAGCAGGAATCTTCGACACGAAAGGCCACATGCCCAGTTTCCCGTCAAACAGGACGCCACGAGCCTCGTCAAACCGCAGACGAGCGACGGAGGCAACGAACATCACTTTGGGTATGAACCGCTTGCTCTGCCACGACCGACGTTGGGGTGTTTCATCATGCACAAGTTAAACCTTTCGTCGGTCCTTGTCTGCGTTGAACCATTTCTCATCCAAATGGACGACGTCCCATATGTTGTCAAATCGGACGGTTTCGGGCAAACCGGCTTCGCCTGCGATTTCCGCGAGCGCATGCGAGCGGTAATATTCGACTCGTTCCAGCTAGTTGGCGTCGGATAGGAGTGGCGTCAAGCGGCGCTGGAACGTTCCTCTCTTGAGGTGCCGGCTAAGGTTCCCCAGCGATATGCCCGTGGCCATGGAGATGTCTCGCATTGTTGAGCGCTGCTCGACAGGTATTGTATGCGCGAGAGCTTGGATGTACAGGGTCGTGTATCGTGGCTTCGGTCCAACTCTCCCCACCTTGTTGGAGTTGACCGCCCCGGTATTGCAGAACGTGCGCCAGACGGTGGCAACGGTGTGGCGACTGATGGCTTCACCAGTTCTGGTGAAAGCGCCACGGACTAACTTGCCAACCTTAAGGTAGAGGTGCAGGTGTTGGATCACTTCAACTTTCTTGGTGCTTGATATCTCTCGAGAGGCTTGGCTCGTGGCGGCAAATTCAAAAGTGTTTTGATTTATATATGCCTCGTATTTTTATTCAGGTCGTGGATATTGGAAGTTGATTTTGAGCGCCAAAATTCAAATTCAGCCCTCGACAGCCAATGGACGGCTCCTGTGGCTTTTAATGCTGTATACTACAGTATATAATGATATCTTACATCGAATTTGGTGCAGAAATGAATTATTGGGGTTGATGTGAAGTCATACGGTAAAGTATTGTTGGACTGAGGAAGCATTCGTATTACACAAAAAAATCTATTTTAGCTCTTTCCTCTAATATCATTGGCTCGATACACCGCGTAGTTCAAGTTCAGACATATCCGGTTGTGTCTGCCGCTGACACCGCATGGCTATAGTTGAACTCACTAAGAAGCCTGGTTGGACAGGTTATGTGAAATCGTGACTCCCTCATTTGAAACCTGTATTTTTTTTATTGCACGCTTGCCTATTGAAAAATATATGTCTCTTTAAGAATATTTGGATTTTCAAAAGTATTTGAGGATCAACGTTTCTTGCTTCAGAGGAAACCTGGTTGGCATCGTTTGTTGTGTTGGGGACAGTTTGACCAATACATCGCATAAAGTTTCGCCAATATAGACCAAGCCAGTCCAACGATACGTCACTAGTGCCCTCAAAGGTGTCACCGGTTGTCAAGTCGCATACGATAAATGTCATTTGGATCACAGTGGCGAAACGTGTTGAAATT